TTGGATTAATCTTTCCTATTGGTTGATGTCACACGCTCTACCAATAGGAGAGCGCAAAACGCCATTAATCCAACCTAGGTTGATGCAAACCCGGTCGGGCCGAAAACGCTAATAGTTTAAAATATATAAAATAACTATGAAAGTAACTATTAAATTAGTTACTAGTTACTTAAAAGATGTAACTTATAGCGTATTCGATTTACTGACTCGACCCGACTCTGAGTCAACAGTATGTTCTTTTCAGCTGCATTTCTTACACAATTTAGCTCTTCTTTTGCAGCTAAACAGAACAGACTGTTGACTCGGGTCGAGTCAGTAAATCGAATACGCTATAAGTTAAGTTATAGTTACAGATGGAAAGAAAGTAACGAAATTAAGTTACAGTTACTGAAAAAAAGTAACTCTAACTGTAACTTCGTTACAAGTAACGAGTTACTTCCCATCCCTGAATTAATAATATATAGTGCGAAATGTATTGTCATATTATCGTTCCTGGTAGCTACACATACACATTAATTGTAATTGTACTTCCACAATCTGCTTAGTTCGAAACTAAGAAATTATTTTTATTTACATATTGCAAATTTACAAACGTGTGGACGTTTACAACTATTATAGTGGATCTCAAAATTATCCAGCATAATAGTTGTAATTTTAAACAATTTTTTACAATACGCTGAGACTAGAGAAGCCTTTAGGCCCGTCCGCTGTGATTGTTGGTCGTTGATTTAAAAAAAAATAACGAAAAGTTACTTTCTCAAGTAACGGTAACTGTAACGAGTTACTTTTAAAAATCGGTAACTAGTAATGGTAACTTGTTACTTTTGCTACTCGGTAACAAGTAACTGTAACTTGTTACTTTTAAAAAGTAACTTTCCATTCCCTGATTATATGAATACCAACATTTGTTGCTAAGAATAAGCAAAAGTGTAGAAAGCTTTATCACACACACACGCACACACAATATTTTTGAAAATACAGTATTTCGGAAACTACAAAATTACAAAAATTTGCTGCTTATTGAATATTTATAAGCACAGCTGGATAGCTGAATCTACTTAGAATATTTGACAGAGTGTTTTAAATATTTTATGAAATAATACTAGAAAAATAACAAAATTTTTTAATTAAATAATATAATAACAGAATGACTAAAAATTTAGCAAAATCTGTTTCTTACTAATAGCGTTTTCGGCCCGATCGGGTTTGCACCAACTTGGGTTGGATTAATCTTTCCTATTGGTTGACGTCATCCGCTCTACCAATAGGAGAACACAAAAGGCCATTAATCCAACCCAGGTTGGTGCAAACCTGGCCGGGCCGAAAACGCTATAAGATATTTTAAGTTGTATCTATATCAATTGTACACAAGCTAATCAGCGTTAGAAAAAAAAACTGCACAGAAGTCGCTATGATTGACAGTGTGCAAGTGAATCACTCTCTATTTTAATGGTAACTAAATTGGGGAGGGCTCCGATTGCACACATCGCATATTGCATACATGTATCGCTGATTGGCCAATTT